TCTAAACAATCATATTAAAGGATTGTTTCTATTTCTTAGTAAATAAACCTTTAAAAAAACAAAACAAAACATCATTGGTGTTTCTTGGATTGGTCATGTGACAACACTTCTCATTTGGGTGGTACCTATTCACAGCATATTCCAGTTAGCCCTTCAGTCCAGCTGCTAGTCAAATCAGCTGCAGCTCAGAAATGATTAATGATATGGTCCATCACAAAATGTAAATCAAGAAGTAGTTCTGAGTACAGGTAGTCCTTGTTTAGCAACTGCCTTGTTTAGCAACTGTTTGCAGTTATGACGGTAATGAAAAAGTAACTTTACGACCAATCCTTGCATTCACGACCTCTGCAGGTCTGTAAAGCAAAGGAAAGCTGAAGTAAGATCATAAGCACAGTCATGGTTTCACTTAGCGACCACTTTGCTTAACAACCAAGTTGCCAGTCCCACTTGTGGTTGCTAAACGAGGACTACCTGTAAATACACATGGAATCAAACTGCCCTTGCCCTAGTTTTGCTTTAACATGTCCTCTTCCAGGCTGTTCAACCATTCTTCTTGTTCTTGGATAACTTCTCTCTTCATATGATTAGGTTCAGTCATTACTGCAATTTATATTAAATTTATATAATTATAATTTGATAGTTTAAAGATTGTGAATTTCTTATGGATGTTATGCATAGATCTCATACTACAGTGAGATAATTAACTACTATAATTATAGAAGACTTAATAAAGGAAATACTTAAGATTTGCAAGGGTGGCCTACTTTTCATATATTATCTGGAATACAAGAGGAGATCTTCTTTGTAACCATTTCTAACACAGAAAACTCCTTGCTACCAAAGATTCATTTAGCTTTTCTCTTTCTTGGCTTTCCGTTGCACATAAGCATTTCTTTTATTCCAGCAAGAAGGTGTGGTAATTTGATGATGATGATTTTCACTGGTAAGTTATTTATTCCCACTTAAAAACTTTCTCTGGTTGTTAATGTTTAGTGGATTTTCGTTGTTGTTCTGATTAACTGTTATAATTCATATTGAATAATATCATGGTGATAGGAATGATATCCTTGGATATACATCTTCTGAACAAACAATAGATATTTACTTGAAGAACAGTTAGAATTAGTGGGTTTTCCTTCTGGGCACATGAACATTGTGAATCAAGCAAGATTGAGAGAGTTGATGGAAGGACAAGTGTGAATCAGTTTCAAAGTAAAAAAACAAATTTGAAGATTATGAAATATATGTATGGGTAAGCTTACATAAAATGTTAGTGGCTTTCAGTTTCCAGAAATGATTCAAATGCTAGTGAAAATGGTTTGCAGAATGCCCATTTCACAATATTTATAAGGTTGTTTTAGGATGTCAACACTGACATACCAAATGTTGTTATTAACAACACAAGAGAATAAAGTGAAGGTGATACAATTTTCATAAGAAATCTTTGCTGTCTCAAAGTTAGATTACAAACCCTGATTAGAATCACTGGAAGATATTTAGGTCCAGAATTTAGCAGACATTCCGCAGAACACTGGAATTAAGCAGTCTGATATTACAGTGGAGAATGTTTCACTGATTTTAATGGGGTTAAGAACTCAAGATCCATCCAAGGCTCAAGTGTGCCGCCCAGTGACACCTTCTTAAATTACAGCTGTTTACTTATACAGGTTTTATTTCATCTAACTATCCCGGAAGGGTTAGAGAAGTTTGAATTAAGAAAAAGAGAGGAGCAATTCAAATGTTCCAATCTTGCATTTATTACAAAAAGGAAGGACAGAATAATATATTACATTCATACAGTCAAATGTGTTGGACCTTTGCCCAAATGTTGAGGGATGGAAGCTTCCAAACAGTGGGAAGAATATTTTATTGGAAAAGGAGTAAAAAAAAAAAAAGGTAAGCAATGAGTCAAATGCCTACTTTTGAAACAAGTGGGGCTCTACTATTTTGATGCTAAATCTAGGCTAAAGTTTACACTAATAGATCTGAATCAGAGCTTGCACATGTGTCTGAATCTAGTCATTTTTACCTTCTAGTACTTGAAGTCTGGGTGATAGCATAATTTATTTAAAAGGCAATTCTAATTTAAATAGTTAATGTAAATACTGTCCCTTAAAAATTATCTATATTTATATACTTCCTCATATGTCCTTGCAAACTTTAAGCCTAAAACGCTGATATGCTTTTTGTTTGAACATTTTTTTAACCCCAGTATTTTGCTATAGCAGCTGGTTGTTTGAGAGTACTAATAGTTAAGGTCAGAAAATTTTGGGAATACTGGATATCTAAATAAGCTTATAACAGGCTGAATGAAATGGCTCTCTTGGGTAGATTCTGATAACATAAAAGGTAGCAAATTTGAAGTATTTGAATTATTACTGTAGTCAAAGGGACTCTTGTGAAATTTTGTACCTTTATCATCGTCCCTGTCCCCCCCTCCACCAAATTATATTGGATTGAACTCCTGAAGGAAAGAAAACTGCAAATGTAAATATTTTTATTGTATTCTATTTCAAAGCATTTAAAAAAGCAAAAGGTAAGTAAAATTAGGACAGTGATTTATCAAGTTCAGTCTGAGTCTATCTAATCTTTATATGCAAGATGAGTCCAGGCAACCACATCTACAACTACAGCATTTTTATTAACTTTGTTTGATGTATCCTTCCTTTCCTTCAGGAGTTCAAAGTGGCCTATAATTTTTCCCACAACAAAAACCATGTAGAGTATGCTGGGGTTAAGAGAGGATGGCTAGCCAAAATCACTGACTGAGTACAAGTGTCTAGCTGTAAAGCTGGGTTTACCAGTTTTAGCCCAACACCTTATGCATTATAATACACTGGTACAGTTTATTATCAAAGAAAAAGGGTGATAATACCTAACAGCACAAAGTCATGTTTCTTCTTACTTTTGCAACTATAATAGGAAAATTCCTTCAAAAGGTTCTGAAAGAATTCATTTGAAAAACAAATGGACTAGTCACTATGATACAAGTTACCATTTGTGGTCATTATAGGCCTCCCCAAAAAGGGGGGACTTTATTTGCAGCATTACCTCCTTCTAGTCTTAAAATTAATTTTGGTTTGGATTATTCCCATGATCGTTTTTCTTAAAAAAATAAAAATAAAAAGGTAGTGTGGCCATAACATAGAATCTGCAACACTAAGCATAGGGAGCAAGAGTATGCATGACTGGATTTGGAGGCTGTAATGCCACTCTGAGGGAGGGCAAGATTCGAAGTAGTAGCGCTGCACTCTCACCTTACAAAGCACTCTCTTGATCCAGTCATATTATTGCTGATCCATGCTTGACAACTGAGAAAGCCAAATAATATTTTTTTTAAAAAAACTATGTGCTTCTTTGATTATATAAATGCCTTTGTGTCCATAACGTTGAAGCTGTAGAAAGTGCTCAGAAAAATGGGAATCCCAAAATATCTCACTGTCCTCTTAAGAAACATAAACAGGTCAAGAAGCCACAGTATGGAAGAACATGGTGAAACAGACTGGCTCTAGCTTGGCAAAGGAGTAAGAAAAGGCTGTATACCCTCCTCTTATTTATTCAACTTATATGCTGAATAAATATATTAATTATTAATATATAATATTTTAATAATTATATATTAAAGGAAGCTGGACTGGAAGATGAGTGTGGTTTTAAAACTGGGGGAAGAAATATCAATTACCTGTGCTATGCTGATGACACTATCTTGCTAGACGAATATCCAGAGGATCTGCAAGCCCTAGTAATAAAAGTCAACGAACACAGTGAAAAAAATAGGACTAAAATTAAATATAATGAAGACCAAACAAATGACAACAGGCAGAACAACCAGGCTTAGAATTGACAATGAAGATATCTAAGTGGTGGATAGCGTCTGCCTTTTAAGATCAACCATCAACAGTAAAGGAACAAGCAGTCAGGACATGCTGCAGACTAGCACTTGGTAGAGCAGCCATGAAGGCCTTGGAAAAGATAGTCAAATGCTGTGCTGTATCTATACCTACAAAGATCAGAATTGCACAAGCCATGGTATTCCCTGTGACACTCTATGGAAGCAAAAGTTGGATTTTGTAGAAGAGAACAGGAAGAGTATTGATGCTTTTGAACTCTGGTGCTGGAGAAGACTCCTGAGAAGACAGTCAAGAAAACAAACTAATGGATCACTGAATAAATCAGCAGAGAGTTCTCACTCGAGGCACAGATGACCAGCCTCAAATCATCCTACTTCAGACACATTATGTGAAGACCCAACTCTCTGGAAAAGGCTGTAATACTGGGAAAGGAGGAAGGAAAGAAAAGAAGAGGACAAGCAAGGTGGTTGGACTTAGTTACAGTGGCAACCGATGCACCACTGGAAGACCAGGTCAGGGGCAGATTGTCATGAGGAAAATCTCTCTATGTGGTTGGTAAGAGCTGAAATGACTCGATGGCACATAATCAATCGTTAACCATCCAAATTGATTGAGACAATTTAAGCATTTGGTAAATAAATCAGTGCACCAGACTGCCTATCCCTCTACGAAGAATCTTGATCTCATTCTGATGAAAACAAGAAAAGGGCACTGATAGGTTTTCATACAAATTTCTATAACTTTTCATATAAAATTCTATTATTATACGTAATACTTAGAGTAAGCTTTAAAACCTTAATTAAAATCCCAGTGACTCATCCTATGCGCCATCTAGATTAATGGTTCGTGGACGGACTCAGGGACTTTCCCACCCCGCCGCCTTACACCTAACATCCATTCGGGGAAGAAGCCACCCGGCTTAGTGATGCGAGTGTCGCAATGCGCATGTCCCAGCGCCACCTCTCGGTTCAGGAAACTCGCCGTAGGCTTCAGGAACCGGATGAGGAAGTCCCCATTCACACTCGGGAAGAGCGATGGTAGGTAAGCAAAGCCACACACAAGATGGCCGCTAAAACATATCCGGAAAGCGAAGAGCCCTTCTTCCTTTCCTGCCCCTAGCCGTTTTATAGGTTGGCCCGAGCAGAATGTTCTACTTTATCGTGTCAACGTCATTGCTGAGCGACCTCAAGGGAAGAGGGCGCCTTGGGACGTAGAGCGGCGGGGTCTTCTCGGGGGACCATGACGGAGATGGAGGCCGGCTCGGCTGTTGGGGTGGCGGAGGTTGCGGCGGCGGCTGCTGTGACCTCAGCAGCGGCGCCTTCGGCTCCGGCGCCCCTTCCCACTTGCGTCGAGCTGCCTTCTTTCGAGACTGCGCGAGCGCTGACGGAGAACCGCTACTCTTGCCTTGTGGTGATGTCGCACCGGAGGCATATCGCGCTCCCGCCGCGCTTTCTGAATCGCAAAAGGACCGGGATTTGCGCGCAATTGGATGCGGAACTGCGCCGCTACTCAGAGAGGTACGTCCTATCGGTGCGTGTAAAAATACTCCGTTTAAATACTTCGGGTTGTAAAAGAGGTGAGAAAGCGAGCAGTTCCGATGAATTTTCGAGAAGCTGTTCCATATCCCCCCCCCCCCCCCCCCCCTCCCCCCTTACCTCACCCGCTTTGTAGCCTACTTTTCAAAACAGAGCTGCTGTCCCACGCCTTTCCGTAAAATCAGTCTTAATAAAAATTCATGCATATAGACTTACCCATCGTGTTGTTCCTTTTCAGGGTAGGTAATGTTACAAAGAGTACAGAAAAGAAGTCAGAAATACTACCCCAAAGAAATTAAATGCTTGACTCACTGTATTTCCGTATCTTTCTGTCCTAAACCATGTTTGCTCCCATTACATCCAAACAGTGCATTGCTTTGGAACGTATAGAAACCATGCTGCGAATATAATTTTAAGAAGTTTAAAACCATGATCTGAGAATTAATGGATTAATTGAATTAAACATTTTTGAAGGACTGAAAATGTTGGGATCTCATTTGTAGTAGTTGGTGAGTCTCCTTGGGCAGAACATTCCAAATAAAGGCATCGCTAAGAAGGTCCTTCTTCCAGTAATGCCCATTAAACTTTGGTTGGCAGAAGCATCTCTTGGATATCTCGGTTTATGGCTTTAAGAAGCTTCAGAGATTGTCTGGGTAGCCTGCATGAGGTAAAGAGGACGAAAACATGACCATTTATTTAAGATTGCAGTTTACTGTATAAAGATGGAACAAAAGAAGGAGAGCTTTCCATCCATGTTTATTTTGTAGGAAGCAGAGGAGATATGAACACACATTTAGTTCACACAAGTAGGGAATGTTATGCACTCTTTCCTAAATTAATTCTGTGGCTTTAAGCAGTTACCTCAACTGTACCCTCCTTGATATTTTCCAGTGGTGCATTGACTCGTAGTTAACATTTTAATTATAGGATTTGTATAGCTGCTTAATTATGTGAAGAACTTGCAGAACAAATTTAGTTTTAGTCAGTATGTTTTTAAGTAGTCCATAAGAGAATTGTGTGGAAATCATCTGTTACATTGCAAACTACTAGGGGTCTCTTGACTATGGCATTTTTCTCAGAATCATAAAATCTGCATTTGTGTAGCTCTCTTTCATCCATTTGAATTGCTTGTAACTGCTCTCTTATGACAAGGATCATAATTGCAGTGTTTCCTATAGGCCTTTGGTGCATTTATGCTGATTATATTGGTAAGTGATTTATTTTATCTTGTAGCTTTCAAGGTGTTCCTGTGGCTTATGATGATATTAAAATAACCAATGAACTGGGTGATATAATTGATGACATTGGGGCCATCCATCTGGACATAGAAGCTACTTTTGTTGTCTTTCAGCCTAAGCCAGGGAAAAAGCTTGTGGTATGTATATAAATAACCCAGTACTTTTGTTTGTACAGTTCTTCTCATCTCAAACATATGTAGTAAGATCACTTGCTTATTTACTTATTTATTGGATTTATCCTGCCATAATAATAAAAGCAACAACAATAAAGAGTGTTATTACAGTACAATCAAGAAAATACAATAAAGTATCCATGGTATAATTAAAAATACAAAAAGTTTGACCAACCCTCAGTATGTTGTTATTATTCCCACCTTTTCTATATACAGTGAACACACTAATTCTCCTGTCTCCTATTTTCCACACAACAATGATCCTGTGAGGCAAGTTGGGCTGAGAGAAATGACTGGCCCAAAGTCACCCAGCCGGCTTTCATGCCTAAGGCGGGACTAGAACTTTCAGTCTCCTGATTTCTAGGCCAGCACCTTAGCCACTATACTAATTTGGCTCTTTATATTGTACATATAAAGTATGTGTATTGTCTTAGTTTTTTCTACAACATACAGTCTTTAAGGATTTTTTATTGTAGTTGATTACCTTTAGGCATGCTTAAGTTTTACAATTTGTGATTTATTATGTTACAGTGTTGATATTAACAATCTTTGTTGCAAATTACAATCCTTTTCAAGTATGGTTCTATAGTTGTTCATAGGAGTAGCTGGCTAAAACCAGCACTGAAATTGTTTTATATGAACTATATCTCTTAAAACGTTTTAGAAGAAAATATCAGATGGTCATATTCACAACTCTTGCAACATATTAGTTTTTAAAAACATGCTAGTTTTTAAAAATCAATTCAACAATTGATTATGGAAAAACTGTATAGAGTTTCTGAAATATCAGTCAACTGAGCAAAAACAGAATTAGATTCTGACCAACTCGGGATAAAAGGATATTGGATCAACTAGCTCCTAAAAAATTAAAAATTAATTGTTTATATATATTTATAATTCAAAAATGTAAGAATGCACCATAGTTCCATATACTTTCTATGTACCTGTGCTGAACATTGACAAAGTACAGTTCACCAAACATATTATGTGATATGCTGCTGCAATTCTCTTTTTTCTTTCCCAGGGTATAATTAATAAAGTGGCACCTAGCCACATTGGCTGTCTGGTTCATGAATGTTTCAATGCTTCTATCCCCAAACCAGATCACATATCAGCAGATGAATGGAAAAACCTTGGTTTTCAATTAGGTAATAGACTAGTATTTAAGGTGTTACATTTTGATTCAGATGCTGCTGGAGTATTCTGCATACGAGGAAGACTGTGTAAAAACAGGTAATACATACTTTTTACAAAATGTCTGCTTGTGTTAGCACTTCTGTCTTCCATTTAAAGGATAAAGTATAATCTAGTTATGATGGTAGTATTACAAATGAAAGTAGTCAAGTATGAATCAATGTAGATAAACTGTACATTGCTTCCATATAAGTGCAGGGCTTTTGAATTACAAATGTTAATTTTATTTTTAAAAAGTTTTTTGACAGCTATGTAAGTGACACGAATAGAAAAAATATATATATAATGTAGACAAAAGTTATGTTAAAGCAAAGTAGGTACCTTTAGGTTTATAGGTGACTAACGAGCACACCTCTTGCATTAATATGATACTGGTCTTGGAAAGTTGTTTTCTCAGGTTTTTTTCCCCCTCCTTTGTAGTCTTGGAGAAGAGACACTGAAGGAGAAATGCAAGAAAAAACATGAAAAACATTGTGATGTACATATTGGCTCGGAGGAGATGGAAGTTGATACATCAAGTGTTGGGATAGAAGACAGAGAAATGCAAAATGGTGATGATGAGGATGATAATGGTATATGTGATAAGCCCGAGAGAGAGAATGGGCAAGATGGAGCAGAGTCGGGAATGCATGCCAGTGACTCAAGTGGTTACCATAGCGATCATGGTAAATCTAAGAAAAAGAAAAGAAAACTCTGTGAGGACGAAAATGGACTCCCTGGTTTGTCAAAATCCAAAGCTAAAAAGAAGAGAAATGAGTGAAAAAGACTGAATAATACCAATGTGCCTTACCTGTATTTAGAATTCTTCTATCAGAAATATTTTGACATTTTATATTGCATTTTAGCATCATAGTTGATCGGCTGGAGGAATTGCATTGTAGATGCTGTACATATGGACTTCAAAAATGTATAGAAGATAATAAATAATATGAGAAAAGACATTCATGTTTTTGTGTAGCCTTTAACCAGCAACTGTTAGTGTTTTTAAAAGTTTTAGGAAAAAAGTCCAAGCCCTAAATTCAGTTCTTCCTCTGTAACTGTATATTTAGTTTTAAAATATTCTTTCCAGAGTGATACTAAAGGATCTGCCTGAAAAATTACTATATGGAAATTTCTTTGTGATCTGTGTTAGGGTCCCAATTTCTTCCAAGGCTTCTTTTATACCAACATTGTAAAGGAGAAATTGATCTCTTATATTTTAGATGTATATATATTAGGAGTATTTATGCAAAATTCTGATACTTAACTTGGCTGTACTTAAATACTTAAGGTACTTAAACTAGTACCTTATTAGAACCTAATTACAGGTAGTCCTTGCTTAATGACAACAATAGGGACCGGAAAATTAATTGTTAAGCAGGGTGGTTGCTAAGTCAGGCATCACATGACACCACTTGATTTTATGACATTTTTTGTGTTGGTCGTTAAGCAAATCACATGGTTCCCCATTGATTTTGCTTGCCAGAAGCTGGCTGGGAAGTTTGCAAGTTGTGGTCATGTGACCCTGGGACACTGCAACCACTGTATGTGCAAGCTGGTTGCCAAGTGCCCGGATCGCAATCATGTGACCGCAGGGGTGCTGCGATGTTCATAAGTGCAAGGACCAGTCGTAAGTAGCATTTTTAGCACTGTCATAACTTTGAACGGTTGCTAAATGAATGGTGGTTAAGTGAGGACTACCTGTAGTACCTTATCTGCCATAGATAATCAAATGATGAGGTTTTTACCGATTCAAAATTAACACTTAGGAATCGTTTTGGAAGATGCATATATGTAACATCACTGCATACTCATTGCTTCTTGCTGGGAAACTTAATTACTGGATTTATTCCAAATGACTATGAAAGAAATAATCACATCCAAAAAAATCCATTGGAATTTTAGTAGGTAACAAGCTGATGTGAGCCAGCAGTGTGAAGTAGCATGTAAAAAGGTAAATGCAATTCTAGGTAGCGTCAATCAAACTTTGCTTACTGGTTGCAGACCCAGATTTCATAAAAGAAAATACAGTGTATAACATAAAGTACAATATAGCATGCATAATAAAAAGATCTGTAATCCAGTTTAGGCTACTTTGCTATCAACATCGTACAAATTTTACAGGCTACAAATGCAGACTTTGCAACAGCAAGAGTAACTTTGGGATCTTTATCTGACAAAACAAGCTGCCCATAGAATTCTTCTGTCTGACCTGGAAATGGGCTAAGAAGAGATGTTAGTAACTCATTTGGTGTGTTTCAGTTAAAATTACAGTAAAGCAAGACATGGTCCTGTACAATGCTCCCATCTTTACAATGGCAAAGCTTTTCAGCATAGGAGATTTTGCGTTATTTACCCTCCAACACTGCTGACAGTAAGATATTCAACTGCAATAGTATAAAGGCCCTCCAAACTTCAGTGTTTATAAGTTTAGCCAGAAATGCTGGTTTAAAATAAAGACTGCTGTGTCCTATTTGAGCTCTAAGTGATATCTTGCTTTATTCTATTTGTAATTTTATATCAAGAATCCTTTGTTTAGGAGCCACGATTGTCTGATCTTGTTCCAGGGGCATAAATATCTCACTTGAGAATCCCTACTTCTATAATTTGTCATTTATTTGGAATTTCCAAGAGGAATAATTGTCATCTAACAGGATAAGATGTATCGGACCTTGAGCCTGAAATAGGTAGCAACATAAAAGTATAATGAGAAATAATGGTATCAAGAAATTTAGGTCCTATTACTTTCAATAAGAAGCTTGTTCTGTTTCTTTTTTTTATGAAAGGTTGAAGGAATTGAGTATGTCTGGTTCTGTGGAAATATAATTGACAGTGACAAGAACATTTTTAAAGGTTTGATGAATTGTGACACAGATGAATACATACATTTTCTGCAACTCTCGAGGACAGGATGCCAGTTAATGGGTTTAAATAACAAAAGATGTTGCTCTTAAATATTGGGTAATCTTTCCTGCAGTACAAAGTGTTTGATAGTAAAGTGTGACATTTTGGAAGACAGTGGACTTCCTTCATTAAATGTTTAAAACAGACTGAGGGCCATTTAGGAGTTCTTGCACCAAGAGATTACCTGTAAAACCTCTTCCAATTCAATGCTTTATTGTCATTTGATTGATGAATCAGATATAGGAATACGTGCACTGTGAGTATTGTGCTTTTGAATAATTTTAGTACAAAAACAAAGAAAATGACCCAATTCCTTCAGGTAGTGGTTTCCATAGGTGTTTTTACTTACATTGGCTTCTGGGAGGCAGTATGCAACCAATTTTGTCCTGTTTGGAACTCGTCAGATATACATAGCTCCAGATTTTTCTGTGCAGTCCAAACTCTTTTTACCAGGAGTTGAACTCATAGGGCATTGCATTTTGACGATGGTTATGTACCTGATCAGAATTCTGTGGGCAGTGGTTTTTCCCTGTGATACTCTATGGAAATGAAAGTTGGATTTTGAAGAAGTAGGATAGAAAGAATATCGATGTTTTTGAAATTTGATGTTGGAGAAGACTCCTGAGAATACCATGAGCAGCCAAGAAAACAAATGAGTTATAGAACAAATAAGAGTCACAAATTTCTGTATTGGACACAGATATATATTACCGCCTGGGGATCAATATAAATAAAACTACCAAGTAAGACATACACTGTGTAAAGACAGGGAAATTCCCCTCCCTCCAACCTGTGTGTGTGTAAGTCATGTAAAACCTTGCACATGAGTGTATAATGTAATGCAACATCCATAACTCTGGTTGGAAAGCTTCAGAAAAGGAAGATAGGCTGTATATATCATTCTAAAGTAGATGCTTTCTGTAGGATAAGTGTTGAATGTTTTCTTTTTCATAAGAAAAAGAGAAGCTCTACTGGATTAGGCCAATACCCACTTTAGTCTGTTATTGTTCACAGTGGTCAACATGGGGTGCTCACAAACAGGAGTTGGAGACATGATTTGTGGTTTGTGCATTAAAATACTAAACATGCAATGTAGGCATTTTCTTGCCAAAGGAGTGCTGTTGGCTGCCATCTGAAATGACCCAGAGTTTAGATTTTTATTGTCACCATGGGTTTAAGACTTCAGAATGAGCAAAATCCCATCAGGCTGGAAATAAAGCTCCATGAAAACACTTGAATGAACTATATATCATCTTCAAGCTGAATTATGAAATTACGGTCCATTGTGGAAAAAAGAATGATGCTTTCTCTGTTCCAAATAATATTGATGACTAAAATGTGGCAACCCAATTGCAAGTTGGTGTTAATTTGAAAGAAATGGCTTTTAAATGAATGAAGATGCCTTCTATAATGCAAGGTGGATTTGTGATTAAAGGGTAAAAATACTTGGCAATCTTAGTTGAAAAGTACAGTATTCCAGCTTTTATCTTCCTTACAATACAACCAAGGGGGTGTGGTGCAAGCCCTTCCTTGTTCATTCCTGCATTTAATGGTCTGTAGCATTGCTGACTGCACATTCCATCAAATCCCAAGAAATACATCAAGTGGGAAGTCCTCCAAGGACTTTTCCCCCCCAGATCAGAAAGCGTAGGCAGCCAGATACTTTTTTCTTATTTACACAATGTCTTCCTACCCCCACCCATCCACACAAATAACTCAGAACACAAAAATAAACTCAGAAGAGACACATACAATGAACTATTATACTTACGTCTCTAAATTATCTGAACGTCACAGGATGAAAACCAGCTCCAGAGAAAATTAAGCAATACTACAATGCTGCAGGCAGTGAATAAGTAATTAAACACTTACCAAAGTTAGTAGTAGTAGTAGTATTTAAATACAAGCCCAAAACATGAATAAAAGGAGAAAGAAACTTGAGAAATTTGGGAATGATCATTTTTCAAATGGAACTGCTATATGTTCCATTGATTTAAACACTTAGACTTTTATTCAGTAATAACCTTTCAATTGACATGAAGTACCACTTACTTATGTATAGGTAAGACTGAATAAATTCAGTGGGATTACTTTGGTGTGGGAAAGCTTTTACTATAAAGATCAGTACACCATCCCCTTAGGGCCTGGGCTGAAGAACATTATTATTTTTAAATTAATTGGGTTTCTTTAATCATGGCTAATCAGTTCTGATTACATTAATTTACAATGCATTTCTCCAAAATATCTGGGAGTAAATCCATTGAAATTTATAGAGCTTACTATTTCTGAGCAGGCAATAAGACTGTTTTATAGATCAGTATAATTAAACTCAACTGCCCCAGTTAAACAAACTCATATATTTTAAACAACAGAAATGACTGTTCTTTCTTTACTGGCCATAACTAAGATGCCCACGTTTCTCACTACAGAAAAAGCATATATAATTCTGCTCATCTTTATCAAGAAGTAAGTCCCAATTAGTAAAATGAGACATATACTTAAGCTCAGGTAAGTGTGCTTAGTCTTCCAGCTTTAATCTAAATATTCTTTGCATCCATGAAATATGTTTAAAAATTACCAAAAATATCTACCCGATAAATCTCAAATAAGAGGGGATTATAGAACATAACTAATGTTTTATACAGGGTAAGAGCAGAAGCAGAGAATAATTTTGAATTTTAGGAGCATGTTCTGGGGATCCTTTAGAATTACAGTGGTACCTCGGTTCACGAACTTAATTCGTTCCATGATTCTGGTCACGAACCAAATTGGTCGCGAACCAAATCAAATTTCCCCATAAATTTCAGTGTAAATAAGGTTAATCCGTTCCGACCCCTACAAACGTCGTCATGAACCAAATTGGTCGCCAACTGAATCAAATTTTCCCATAAGGTTCAATGTAAATAAGGTGAATCCATTCTGAACCATATGTATTTTTTTTTTTAACCACAAAAATATGAAACAAAGTACAG